GTTTGCATGTTCTGAATTATTAGTTAGGGGACCCCTTTTTTCATGTGACTTGCTTTCACATTATTATATTTCACCGTACACGTATATAGACTCATAGCCGTTTTACACACATACGCATGTATGATTAAGGGTGTGATTATATTGTGTGTAAATCGATGGTTCAAAATTGAATAACTCGGTAAAGTACATCAGGTGTGTAGCATAGAATAGACATTTTTTATGATGGTAAAATATGATACGATCATATGGGTATCATTAATAATTTTTATGAAAACCTAAGTTTTAATGAATATAATTTTTTTTATGAGAATATAGTACAATGATAACCAATTAAAGATAAGAAAATTAAAACCCTAAAAACAAGGAAAATAAATAATCCTACACAAATTAAAATAAAACTATAAAACTTTTGCCGGATTGTATAATTCCCCTCCTATTTGAAACAAACCTTGTCATCAAATGCATGGTAATTCATTTTCGTTAGTTACTATATTCAATTGGTGACACTGTTATTGTGTTTGTTGTTTAGGAAATTGTTTAGTGTACAAATTACTCTCAATTGTATTATACGTAGTTTAATTTGAATTTTTGTGTGATTTGATACCATAAATCCATTGATATGTTGTTTAATTGACTATGTAAAAGAAGAAAGAGAGTTCGAGGTTGTAGAAGATAAGAAAATGAAATGACGCAAAAAATCGAGAAAATCGGACGAAAACACGTGCTGCCTTATGAGACCTCAGTCCCATAATTGTGAAGGAATCTCGTACTCCAGTGTAAGATGACAATCTGCCTTATGATCCCGCGATCTCACTTTTCAGTTCAATTTATGAGACCGCGGTCCTAGAAGTATTTTGTGTGGTAAATTGCTGAAAACTTAGGTATAAAAGAAGGGTTTTCAAAGCAAGCTGGAAATGAGTCTTTCAGCGAAATTAAGAGAAAACCTGGAGCAAGAAGACGGAAAAAACGACGATGAAGATTTGACGATTTTTAACTATAGTTTCACTTATTCGTATTTTCTTAAACCATCTTTACTATTTTTTTTTTTTTTTTTCTTTGAACAACATGAGTAGCTAAACTCGTAATCTACAATTTCATCTAGAACAAATTCTTGTATGCACGCACGTACACAAAACTTACCATTAATAAGTCCCCCTCACAGACAAGAACAAAGCCAATTTCACCAAATATAGAAAGAACAAACACTTCCTACATCCAACACAACAAATACAAAATACAAGCAAAACATAAATCAAATATTAATAGGCAATTCAGCTAATATAGGATACAGAATATCTACACAAGGACTGCAAATTCTCAAACTAGCAAACTCGCAAAGTATACTACTAATAGTCTGTAGTGGCACGTCCAATAATTTCTCAAGCCCTGAATTTTTTCCGACTAGGAACAGAAGCCCGAGCCAGCGAAGATGGCTTGATTCCTCCAGACAGCAATTTCGATGCAGTGCCAGCATTTATTTTCCTCCTCTTAGCTTCGAGTTCCACACGCCTTTTATCAGGCACAGAAGAAGACGAACCAGAAAATATCGAAGTGGACTGAATTAGAGCCCTCTTGTCTTTTCTGTTCCTCTCAAACTTTGTAGCAAATTTAACACGCGAAGCAGCGGCAGAATCCTCTTCAGAAACTGGGAGAAGTCTAATTCCAAGTCCTGATTTTCGAGAAACAGCTTCTTCTTCAGCCACTCGTTTTCTCTGACCCCTGAGCTTCGCACGTAGTGATCTATTCATTGAGTAATCATCCAAGTGCCTCGAATCGGAAATCCGTTGAAGACGAACCAATACTGGCTCGGCTTCTTTCTTCTTCTTCATATCTCCCTTCTTGGTGTTCGAGCCGTTTAAAAGGGTCCACCAGCTTAGTTTTATCTGCAAAAGGGGCAAAAAAGTAAATTTCCTGCTTTATGAGACCTTCGACTACTCAAGTCGCTAGCAAAATATACTAACCATCATCAACTGGGAGCACCATTGTTTCAGCATCTTCGGCGTCGTATTCCTCAATCTTTTTTCGAGCTCCACTAGTTATCACATACTCGCAATTTTGTGGATCTGTTTGAATTACAATCTCATGCCTGCAGCATGCTGCTTTCATTGAAAAGCTCCATATCTGAAAACGATTTGGGGGGCGGGGGGTCATTACCCAAAGAAGTCTAAAGATACGAACAAGTTCAGCGTTCATTTAGAGCAACAAAGTACCTTTGTCGAGTAATAATTCCCCACTTGCTTTTTCTCGGCATTGAACCTTACACCTTTTGCAATCATGGACTCACATCCACCACACCAAATGTTGTAAGGCATCTCAAACCTGTAATACCGAAGCATACAATAAAGATACAGTCGCGAAAATCTCAACATATAAGGATTATATAAGCTTACATAACATCATCATTTACATATCATTTTCTAAACGGTTATGATAACCATGTGTCCATGTCACTAGATAGACAAGAACTATTCCTTTGTCCGAAATTCATTAGTCAAAAATGCATTAGGAATTTATTTCTAGAAAGTACTCAACTCAAAACACTTGTACGAACATGAAAACACGAGTTTGCACGTCTACCAACCACGACGGTCCGAAAAAACGGATGTGAATACAAAGAAGACAGCTAGTTAGGATTAAACTAGTACTAGCCAAACTCTTATCCAGTCCCTCCACCACGACATAAAGATAAATAGAAAAAATAAATTTGGATAGGAGGAAGTAAAAAAGAATATTCAGCATAGCACATAAAGCTATTGAAATGTTTCAAAAGTTCGATATGTGAAGAACCAAAAAACATACGAATAACTTATCCTCCAAATTCTATTTTTGTCGTATTACTGTTTTTCAGCAGTATTAATGTGTTCAGGCGTCAATCAAATAGCTAGCAGAAGTTTTCTAGGGCATATAGAAATCTCAATTTCTACATATCATTTTCTATCATCATTCCGTCACGGAAGCAAAAGAAACAACTTAAAAGCTCTAAAATCTAAGGGGGCATTTTGGGATGGAAGGATTTGGGGGAAGGGATTTTCAAATCCTTAATAACAAATTCCCCTTGGACTTGTTTGGATTGAGGGATTTGGGGATGAATTTCAAATCCACACCCCTCCTTTTTAGTTATGTTATGAGCAATTGAGGTGGATTTCAAATGACTCCAAAATTGGAGTCATTTCAAATCCCTTCCCCAAATCAAATCCCTCCCCAAATCCTTCCATCCAAACGCACTCTAATGTTTTAAAGAAGATTTTGACTGTGAAGCACTAGTTATCAAACTCAATTGATGTAGTAGTACCTTATAATCAAGATGCCTTGATCTATTTTTCTTGCTCTCTCCCTCAAAGCATGTTGACCATTGAACTTGTTCAAACCACCCTGAAATCGAAAGTGATGTGAGTCTTTGAAAAATATATATCGACATAGTTTGTAGCCATGCTTGATTGCTTGTATAAAATTAACCCGAAAATTACCTTCTTTGGTTCCCATTCTGGTGGGTAGTAAAAGTTATCTGCCCTTGCTGCTGCAAGAGTCGACTGCAAAAACAAAAAAAAAGTAAATTTAATACCTCAAAAACAATTTCTTTGTGTAAAACCAAAAAACATGAAGAATAAACATAGAAAGTAAATGAAAAACATCTCATCGATAATTAAAATATCGAATTACTAAAAGACCGATTAACACTACAGATTTCTCCATACGAGGAATTACTAAATGCTCAAATTCTACAACAATCTCCTCCAACAATTCAGACTAGGTTGTTTCGAAAGAAAAAAAATGACCTTTTTTTTTTTATGCCTAATCGAACCCTAGGAAAAGCAATTAAGAACGGCATCTAATCTAACAAGATAAACGATGTTTTTTTCTACAAACATATTACAACTTCCATATGATAACATCGATTGTGGTAATGAATTCATCATAGTAAATCATGATTCCGAACCCTAACCCCTAAATTGATGAATAACAAATTGAATCAAAAAAAGAAACAAATACATACCATTTCGCAATCCGGTTATCTTCTGAGATAGAACTCGATGAATTTCTGCTGATCTCTCAAGTGTTGATTTTAATGGAGTTCTGAATCGAATCGACTTCGACCAAATATTATTTCTTTGAATTTATTTTATTCAGATGGTTTTATATAGGAGTCCGTATTCAGATTGGGCTTTAAGCCCATTACTTGTAATGGATTATGGACCATAAGAAAGGCTAGTGGGCCTAATATTTGGGAAAAGCCCAAAATCACAATACAAAAAATTAATTGGCCGAAAATTATAGAGAGAAACAATTGTTTTTTGGTGGTAGATGCAACAGGTTAATAATTGTGATTTCAGTTGATTTTAAGTGCTTATATCAGTGTTTGATAATACGGTAAAAAATCAACTTAACACAAATAAGAGCTTATAAGATGTTTAATAGTTTATAGGGTAAATTGCATTTCTGGAAATTAAGTTTCAATTTTTTTTAAAAAAAAAGTTAATACTTATAATCATATATCATGTATTTATATTACAAGTGACATTTAAGAGATTATTTGGTTAAGTTTATAAGTTGTTAAAAAAAGCTTATAAGATGTTTAATAGTTTATAGGGTAAATTGCATTTAACCCCCTTGTGGTTTCACCGTTTGGCACTTCACCCCCCTCTGATATCGATTTAGGCACTTAACCCCCCTGTGGTTGTCAGATTGTAGCGGCCGTCTAATAATCCGTTAAAGTTAACCGTGAGTGTATCTCACTCGCCCAAAATTGAAGTGGTTGAATGTTTCTCCAGCTGAATTTTTTGATAATGACCATGTTGTCCTTTTGCCTTCAATAAAAACCCTAGACTAATCTCTCATTTTTAGTTTAATTAAAAAAACAAAATTAGAAATTTCTAAACATTTTTTTAGTTCCGTATTACATAATTTAAACCTTTATATTAATTATTTTTTAAATTATACATATATGAATTCTTTTGTAATTTATTTTTATATTTTTTCAAATAAATTTATGTTTTGATTAG